TTCATAGCTTCAGGGAGACGAAGAACGACGGATGCATTATTTCCCACGGAAGTACTGATTTGACGTTGAATTCCACATAATATTGTATTTGCACAAATTGTGGCACGATACCGAACTTGCTTGATTACTTTTCTTTTAGAGACAACATAACAAGGCATAATCTACAAATATTGAAGAATTTATTTTAATTCGCGTACAGCGCGAAAGACAAGTATGGACATAAAGACCACAATAGAGCTCTGCAATTCTACTGCATTTATTTCTGTACTGGTGGACAGTTAGTCCGCATGACTATATTCAAAAATTGCAAAATCGTTTAAGCCTACCCATTTTTATAGTTTTTTTTTTTCATAGATGAATTGTGGCGAATCCCGGCTGGGTTCGGGTAAAGATCTTGCACGTGTTCAAGGACACATTTCGGCATGATTTCCCGCTTGGTGACGACGTGAGCTGGCCGCTGTTCCGCTTCTTTTATAACTAGGCCGGGCAACGCCAGACGCCTAAATTAGACAAGCAGCCCCAAAACTTGTGGTAGTACACGTTCCAAACTCCTGTTTTTTTGTTTTTTTTCGGAGATGGTTGTTGGACTTTGCCCACCCTGTCAGAGCCCCGAACAATTATGATGCGAGGGCTGCAGAGGCTATCTGGGCATTCCATTTCTTAATCAGCGAACAAATGGGAACAGAAGAGAATGAAAACTTCGTAATACCTCCCGTCTTTTAATAAATGGCATAATATGCTACTATTGCTAGTTGCACTATTTTACGCGAAGAAAATTGTGATATTGCGGTTCAATCTCCGTGTTTCCCGTTCTCTTTGCTGATACGCAAGATATTTGTCGGCTGTCAAGTTTTCAGTTACATTTGTTGACAGAAACTAAATGCACGTTTGGCCACGAAGAAATTTTTTTCAAAGGCTGAAGATGGATGAATTATACCATAAACCGTTTCACTTTTTATGGAAGTTTTTTTTTTACTCTTCGTGGTAGCTTCAACGAGGCGGCCGTCACTCTAGAAAACACCTGTAGTACGAACCTATATATTATGCCCCAGAAATGGTCAGACTATGTCCCTCTGACTGCAATATCTTTGACTTGCAATTACTCATGATTATTACTTTGTACAAAAAAAAAAGAAACAGAAAAACAACAACACAATAGTGATACAATCACTCTTCAGTGTGCCGTTGTTAGAACGACAAATTTTCAACTCTCTGGGTAGAGCTCAAAGTTCAGATAAAAATACCCATCGTTTTTTTTCTTCTGCTGTGATATTCAAGTTCCGTTCACTCGAGATAAATATACCGTATTCGGTGTTGTAGCGTATGTGGCCGCACGCGGAAGTATCTGAATGTAAAAAAAACTTGTTGTTGGGCTAGTTGGTGTTGACTATCTGAGTGTGTCTTAGAGCTGCATAAAAAAATTTAAAAAAAAGAAAAAGAAAAAAAGAAGAAAAGCGAGCCAGCTCGAACCCTTCCGAGCTCATGTCCAGGTTGCCTAACTAATCCCTGATGTTTGGGATTGAAGCAGAGAACCTTGAAGGGCTACAGAGATTTTGTCGGGGGGCCGCTAAGCCCATTAGCACTCGTGCGAGAAGGCCGTAAAAAAGCGAGGAGGAAAATCGAGGAGGAAAGGGGAGGAGGAAAAAAAGAAAAGAGGGGGAATTTCTGCCACGCTGAAGAAAATTTTGAGCGCCCGCCTTTAAACAGCCTCTGACACGCCAAAAAACAAATTTTTTTTTTTCCATGCTAGGCGTTGAAATGGCATATCAGGACATTACAAAAAAATTGTTTCACTATAGAGTTGCGTAGTTTCTTTTTATAAAAAATAGAAATACGAGGCCCAATTCAAAGTTCCCGCCGTGCACTGTGACGTAACAGTGTACCGCAAGATGTCGGGGCGGTCAGAAGGGAGGCATCGCCGGAAGTCACATGAGTTGTATCACTCCTCGTGCTTACCGCGAGCGCGTGTAATATTTTTTAAAATAGTTTTGTTATTCTCCGCACCTCCACGAGCGATCCAAGCACACAAGGTTTCTTTTATTTGCTTTTCATCACTTAATCTTGCTGTAAATGTAGAAGAAGCGGAGTCAGTGAACTGACGTGATCAACTACAATGCCTAGAAGATGCTGTGTGAGGGACTATCACGGTATCTCAGCAACTGAAGAGATCACACTGCATGCATTTCCGAGAGATATACGTCGGCCACATGTGCACCTAGTAAAAAAGTTCTATTCATGTTCTAGACAAAATACATACTTTGTGCTCGACGTTTACTTGTACTTGGTGCACAAACCAGTTCGTATTCTTTAGACGGCAGAAATCTTTAGCCTGGAAAGTATCCGATGATTCAACGACCTCGGTGTCTGAACCTTCAGCAATGCGATCGGGCATGTCGTATGCTAGCAATCCCAATTTCTGCGAGCGTTCTAAAATTTTTTTTTTCAAAGCTTGGTAGCTTGTTTTGCGCCCAGTATAGCCCTGTATCATCGGACTGTCGGCATACACTCGTACACTGGCTTGTACTCACAACGCTTTCATCATTGACCCTTCATCACGTCGATCCACTGACTCTTCGTCCTCAAATATTACAGCACGCAAACTAACCAACGGTGCAGCGATAAAGAGCTAGTGGAACTTAAACTTTGTTTTCTACGATCGCTCGTACAAAGAGCAGAATTAAAAAAAATAATCTTAGGCACGGTCGCGGAAAGCACGAGGAGTGAAACTCGCGTGACTTCCGGTGAACCCACTTTTAGTGACGTAGGTCGATGCCTCCTTTCTGACCACCCCGACACCTTGCGGTACACTGTTACGTCACAGTGCACGGCGGGAACTTTGAATTGGGCCTCGTATTTCTATTTTTTTATAAAACAACTACACAACTCTATAATGAAACAATTTGTTTGTAATGTCCTGACATGCCATTTCAACGCCTAACATGAAAAAAATTAATTTTTTTTTTTTGGCGTGTCAGAGGCCCTTTTAAGGCTTATACCCTTTGTAACGGGCGGTAGCTTGTGCCACCTAGCCTAAGTCTAAAAAGACAAAAACTTGATTCCTCCAGCCCTTTTAAGACCAATTTTTCTCCCCCTAACTATCACCAGGCAGCGTGGGATATCACCAGGATGACCTTCAGGGGATCGGGCAAAAGAACTAAAAACATCACCTCAATTCACGACTCCCCCGGCGAGGGAGTCGCCAATTTTCCTCTGGTCAAACCTTTTCGGCGTTACCCCAGCACCGGACCCACTGGGAGACAGGGTTGAGACTGTGGGCTGGAGCCACACAGGAGGGAGTCCCAATTTTCCTCTGTCCCGCCTGTTCCCACCTGTGCTAGTTAGTTGTCCATCATTTTAATTTTCCCTAGATAATTTCCACCAATCTTCTAATCGTCTCATTGTCACTGTAATCATATTCTCTACCGTCCTTCCATCGTCGCCAGCGAAACCCAGGGCCCCGGCCAAGTCCGTTACTCTTCAGGGAGGGCAGGGCGAAGCCCCGTGCACTTCAAAACCAAGTGCTCTAGTGTCTCGCTATCATTATGGCAGGCGGCACATAATGTGTCTGTCTCCTGAAATTTAGCCCTATACGTCCTCGTCCTCAAAACTCCCGTTCTTGCCTTGAACAGCAAAACACTTCCCAGTCAATTGTAAAAAAGATTTTCCTTCCTTATGTCCTGCTTTCGTGACCTGTACATCCCAAAATGGCGACCATCAATGTTGCCTGATATACTTTGCGAGATCACAGAGGGCATTCTTTTGCACTCCCATATCAAAGTGGTTGTAGCAGTTATAGTCGAGGACAAGTAGAAGCATTGAGATGGAATACAATCCAACTACACCTCGGCAACGAAAAAAGTCACTGATGATGAGGAATAGTTGCAGGCGAGCGTTTCAAATTGTGGAATATTTTATATTGAATGTAATATTGACAGCAACCTACCTACAGTCGCTTGTGATCTTATGAATACCTGTTACAGCACATTTACACCAGTACCACCCGATTTGTTCGCGCGACCAATTTTTCGCGAACTATAGCTGAATCGCGAAAATCAAGTCGTTCAGAGCAGTCAATTTGATCTCGGCTTTTAAAAACTACATGGGCATTCGAAGTAGGGTGACACGTCTAGCCGCCATTCGAAGCAGTGTGTTCATAATGCGGCATTGAATAACAGGTCGGAACCTCGACCGCACGAATCGGGTACCGCAGCACCAAAGAATCCGGGATAAAAAATAAAATATTAAAGGATTAGTTCGTGCACCGAAGTATAATTATCGCCTTTTCTGATAGCTGTAATGTGTATACGTTTCGGATGTCGCTATTTTGGGGGTGCAAAAGCGAGACGAACACATCGTAGGCTTAATCACTACCGCGGGCCGCTGTGGCGACTCGGTGTTCGAATGCGCTTGCATGGCACGCGGAACCCTGGCCCTGTCTCGTGCCTCACGTACTCGTGCGCTCGCGCCAGCGTAGCGTCGGGTCGATACGCTACAGCAAATAACTAAAAACCCACGATGACGGGGACACTACCGCTGCTACACCTCCCAACCTACCGACGAGTTAAATAATAAGCTTAGTTGCGTGCGCAACGGAACGTCGCGTATTTGTGAACCAACGTATGAAAAGGCAAAACGTATTCCGCTACCGGCTACGTAAACCTATTACGAACGCGAATACAATGAGCACGGACAGTTTATCGGCAAAGAAAATGCCGCCAAACTGCCCCTTGAACCACAACTTCATCGGCCATTCTCCCCGGTCCCTTCGGACGCTACTTCGAATCGTTCGAGCTTAAGTCTACTCACCGGCGTCCTTGTCTGCCATCTCTTTGCCTTGCTGATTACCGTTACGAAATACTTGCAAAATCTAAACTAATCAATGTTCCAAATTCGGTAAAAAAATAGATTCTTTTGGGCCACTTTTGGGTGCCGGCTCTTCCTAACACGAAACAATGCCGCCGGTTGACACAGTAGACATGCGCAGTTCCTCGCGCCAAATCTGGCCGAGGATCATGGGATACCGTGTTATGGAACTCAAAAACATCTTTTCCGCAGTTTAAAATCCAATATTTATTTAGATAATTCCGAATTTCAATTCTGTTACATAAATTTATTTATAAATCATTTATGTGACTCGAGTTTGTTATATCTTGCTTACTATAATCACGCGTAAAAATGGATACATGCAAGTGTTACTTTTATTATTTTTTGTTTTTTATGTTGTGTGCAATGCAAAAGAAGTGGGCGAGTGATGTGGGCACCGCCGTAGAAGAAGAAGGATGGGGTAGTCGCGCGGTCTACGTTTTTTTTTCTTACTAAATTTCGGAAGGATAAAGCTTATTGGTGACTCGTCGTTATCCCACGACAAGCGAGGTAAGACTTCTTTTTTGAGATCGTCACACTCGTTCATACCTCCGGGTCGTTTTTTGAGCCGATGTGCTGGCAAAGATCGCACATCTAAGCCTATTCCCCTCTTGTCATGCGGGATATTACGAGCCTTTGATCCGATACGGAACATAATGATGACCCCCTGTGATCGGAGGTAGGGACTGGTAAACCTTACACACGAAAAAAAATAAAAAAAAGGGACGCGCGCAAAAAAAAAAGGGGGGGTTTTCCTAGTCGTTGTTTTCCCGGTATCTTGTTTGATGTGCCTTATTTTGTTTTGTTTGTGTGTTCGAGTTCGTTTTTTGGAACACGGCGCAGCTGTGTTCGCTTTCCCCCAAAGTAGCCGACGTTTCGTTTGTGCAGGGATGCCGTCATCACATCTCTGACCGTGTACCTGTGCTCTTGACAAGTGCCCCGATCGCCGGCTTCGTCCCGGTTAGAATGGAGAATCTAGGACTGAAACTAAACGAAGCCGAACACAGGTACTTCGCCGAGTTGTTTGCGGCATACGATGTGGACAACCAGGATAAAGTGTCCGGTTCGAAGGCATCGGAACTGTTGTTGGCGACGCAACTACCGACAGAAGTGCTGCAGCAGGTAAAAGTTCCTCGCTATGCAACCTCGTCGTAAGCCGGCGGTCCGTTCGTTTTGCTCCGGCTGGCTAGTTTATGGCCCGCTTTCTTTTTTATGACACCGTCTCGAATATTATTTTTTTATTGCCTTCAGCGCACCTTTTTAGCTGCCTCTAGCACGAGTGTGTCAAAGGCGGATAAACACAATTGATTAGTGTGAGTGGTGATAAAAACATACTTATTTTAAAGCGCCCTACAGTTGTGGTATTTCTTTCTCCCTCATAACCCAGTTAGATTTTCTTGTTTTTGTTTTAGTATTTTTTTTAGCGCGAATTTGGACTATTGTAGTTTCGTATTACTCCGGCAATCACAGACTTCCTTGTTTGACTTGGGAAAACAAGGAAGTGCCCCACTGTTCAATGCAGTTTCATTTAAACCCCCAAACAACAGCGACGCTGCTTCGTATTTGGCTCAGTTTAGACTGGACAATCGTGGAGTCGCATTTTCTCACAATTCGCCGCAGGTTTGTTTTGTGGGTCACTTGCACTAGGGTGACCACCTGTCCCGCGACTTGCGGGAGTGTCCCGCGTCGAGGGCTCGTGTCTTGCATCCCGCAAGAAATATTAAAAATCTTTAAAATGTCCCGTATTTCATAATGTCGTAGCATTCACTACGCACATTACGGCGCTTCCGAAGAACGGGCCACGGGGTAGCGTGGAGGTCGCTGATATACGTGTGAATCTCAGTGGCATGCCATTTTCTATACAAACACTGTGGGAAGCAACCTTGATTCTTTCAGGAGACATGCGCATGTGCCATTGTGCCTCTCCCCTTGATGGCAAAATATTGCAAGCGAAAATTGCTCGCCAAAAGTTAAAAAGTAAACTATTGTAATTATTTGCAAAGCATACTGTGTCATGCGAAAGGGTTGTTGTAGAAAGCTGTTTTTTAGTGAAGACGGCCACACAAGGCAAGAACCTGCAACTCACAAGGGTCGAAAAAATAACATACATTTCTAATTTTGTGTAAGAGCATGTTAGTTATAAGAGTAAGTATCCACAGAAAACAATAAGCCGAAAAAAATTTACTGTTTCTTATTTTCCTTTTATGCATTCGGGTCTGCTGCAGTCGATTTTAATGTTTTCAACTTGGAGGCTTATAATAAAATATCTATCATTACAATACACCCTTTCTGGAATTCAGTCTCGCAACTTTGATCACTATCATCTGAAAAATGGAAAATGTGCTGTACTAATGGCGACCTTCTGTTTAGCAATGAAGGAAGATGTTGAAGATACTCTTAAGCAGATGATTCAATGCCTATACATTTTAGACGTCAGCACGGCGTGAAGCAGGAATTGGCTGCAAGAGCCGCGTAAGCATTTATTTCTAACTCGGGCCCAGTTCATCTGTTGTAGCACACACTCGGCTTCAAACCCCCTTGATGTATAGAATTTTATCGAGGCGTCTATGTGGACTGGAACTTCGTTCTGACTGGTTGCATCTTCTTCGCCATCGACACTGAACAAGATTGAAAAAGAACTACAGTGAAGCGCGCGTTCTCGTTTACCATTTACTTGCGAAAGTGATGGTGCCCCATAAGATACTGCAGACCATAGGTTAATTTCCTCCATTAGTACGGTAAAAGTTAGATTGCCATTTGAGTCACCAGATGGCACTGAATTCCGTAGAGGGTCTATTACACAAAAAATATATCACTGTGAGTAAAAATTATTTTGGCTTAATTGCCACCACACAATTTTCAGGTGTATAATATGCTTTCAGACAGCACAGGATATCAGGATGTGCGTGATGTGAATTTTTTTTAATACTTTTTTTTGATTTGTGAAAATACCGTCCTCCTCATACCCCCCCCCCCCCCCCCCCCCCCCTGTCAGGTTTCCCCACATTCCGCCTGCAGGAAAGTGGTCACCCCGACTTGCACCACAATATTATTTTTGTTGTTGTAAAAGACTGGAAAAGATCTCTAGACGTCATCCTCTAGATTTGAAGCTTGGGAATTTAACTGCATATTTCAAAAGAAAAAAAAGAATAATTTCAGGAAGTTTAATTTGGAGCTATCATGTGAGTCAGCTCCCATGTGAGTCAGTGATGTAGATAAAACAATAGTGCACACCTTGCTTGGTTAGGGGATTTCAAACCAGAAGTATTCTTTAATTTTCCCTCTTTCTTTCTCATTGACCATGGGCACACACGCCTACCAACTGCCCCAGCAGTAGAGGTCTGCGTGGGCTCGGGCAAGCCCCGAAAACTCAAACCCGATACCACTGTCGGGTCGCGTTGGGTCGAGCTCGGGCCAACATATGGGCGCCCTCTTCGGGCTTGGGTCATGTCTGGGCCTATTTATTTCAGTCTCGGTCGGGCTTGGGTCGGGCTGGGATAGATGAACCCGACAACCCAAACTTGCCAAATCTAGAAGGTTGATTTTAGAAACTGTGGTAACTCCCCCATCACATCTTTGAACATGCAAAAAGTGGCACCGCAGAAAGTGAGTGTTGATTATAATGCCTGAAATCACAACACACATGACACGCGGCGAGCATTATATACAAATATACTCCAGAAGCCGGGCGAAGACACAATAAAAGCAATGACGAAAACAGCTTGACATAAAAAGAATGACAATATAATTAAATGTTTTGCCTCCCATGTGGGAGGCATCATCAGTGAGGCAAAGAGCGAAATAAGAGCAGCATTCCAAAGTTCAGCTATTTACGCGTAAGGTTTGTATACACGTCCGGCAAAGGGCCACGGTTTTTGTTCATTAGCGATGAGTCACTCTCGCATTGATCGTTCTGAATGAACCAAGACTCTAGTAGCTTCCTCTGTTCCCACCTTCTCCTTCGCCAGGGTCGATGCAATGTCAGTCAAAGGTGTGGTCTGTGGTCCATGTGTGGTTGACGAGTTCATACTTGAAAAGGGGCGCATTCGTGGCCTTGGCGACGTCCCGTGCATGTTCTTTTAGTGTTTTTTTTTTTTTTTTTTTTTTTTTTGCTTCATCTTTTTAGTTTAGGACGCATCATATCCTTTACGCTGTGCTTGGTAGATCGCCTCCCCTTCCATCTCTGAAGAGGGGGGGTCTGCGTTTCGAGATGCACAAAACTTTCTTGACTTTCACTCGCATCACCCCACACAGCACAAAAGCTCAGTTGTAAGATCGCTACTTCATAGATCAGAAACAGTCCCATCTAACTCATGGCTTAGTAATCAAGAGCTATGCCATGTGCAAGAGGCTCTGCATAAACGTAATTTCCTCAACCGTTTTATTAACCGCTCTAAGAAACTAATGTCCCGTCAACGCATGAATTGGGTTTGGTGAACACGTGACGTTGTAACATCCTGTACCTCAAGGGAATTTTAGAAGCTTTGGGACTTGCGCTAAGGCCGTTAGGTGTATGAACTGTGTACTGACCTGCAGACTTTACTGGATAATTGCCAACATTATCTCGAAACCCAAAGACCCACCCCTTCAGAGACAAAAATGGGGGGTGATCTACCAACTACAGGCCTTCGGCCGGGTTCAGGCCGAAATGCTTATCGGTTGGGTCAGGCCCGAGTTGATGTACACAAACCACAGTCTGACTTGGGCCGGGTTTGGGTTAGGACTTTATCGGGCCGGGTCGAATCGAGCCTTAAAGGGGTAGGGAAACGAAATTTCAGCGATCATTTTCTAGCTTTGATCTGTTGCCTGTTGCACCCTAACCTCAGAAACACCAGTCTTCCATTGAAAAGTACAAGAAAACTAATTTTAAAGCTAAATAAACGATCTTCAATGTGCACCTGGTGGATGCATGCGGAGCCTATTTGGGAGGTAGTCTAGTAACGTTGTGGAATCTGCTACGTAGTCGTGACGTAGCAGCTTGCTTCGGAGCAGCGCCGCTCTTTGGCATTTCAACGTTTTCCTTAACATTCCTCCTGAAGTCACAAATCGCGCATTGTACCAAGAGGTCCAAGAAGACGGAACGGAAGGACTCCCCTCTTTCTCGCACCCTGGTTCGTGCAACCGGAAACAGCCATTCTCCCCCTAGAAGATTAGCCCGTCGCTCAAAACTCGAACAAAAGTTGCTTTCCCCACCTCGTTCAGCACTAAACTGACAGTGTTGTGGAAGCTACGTGCTCCTTGGGCCGGCCACACGCTCGTCACCCCACGGGTACTTCAAACGGCTCGGTTGTAACGCGCTGACGCTATTGACACCACCGCAACGCTGACAACGCCACCAAGGGCAAAGCTCATAATAACGCCAGACTTGCCACGTCACGAACGCGGGGTATCTTTTCTTTCTGTTTTTGTTTGCGCCGGATATCCCATGACGCATCGCGCTCTTTGTTCGCTTCTCTTCGAGCGCTTGCTCGAGTGCACCGTTTGGAACGAAAAATATAGCCAATCGTTCAAAATACAAACGTGCGATTATCATTTACGGTTATTATCCGTCATGCTTGACTCATTTACGAACGAAATCTGAATATATAAATTTTTGTTTCCGTACCCCTTTAAAATTCTGGCTGATGCAATGTTTATTAAACAGCATGCGCCTTTCGCTCCACGTCACTTTTCAGTTTGAGCTCTTTTTAGAGCCGTACCCTGCTTAGTCTGTCTAAAATGCCCTAGCTATGTCGCGACGACAATAGGAACATGGCTCACACAACTAGCCAAGGTACAACAACATATTAAAAGGTCCGCTCCATCCTTTCCGATTATGTGCTTGTTGACATTGTTGAACCCCTCCCACTGTCCAAAGGGTTCTGATATATACTCACATGCATAGATCAGGGGTGAAACGGCTTTGCCATTCGCACCATTTTCTGGCAGACGCATTTGTTTGCGCCATCCTGCGCCACAGCCAATACCTCGCGCCATTATGCGCCAAATCGCGCGCCAAAAAAAATTGTATTTTGTCTTGGTTTCGGTTTTTATTGACTTGATTAGCAACAATGAGTGTTTAACTTGGTCGGCCTTGCAATCCTTTGTTCTGTTTATTCTCTCTGTGTATCCCGAGTCAGAAGCGTGCGAACAACCGTGGATTCTAAGCACTACACCACCTGCGACTGGATTGTTATTCTTCAACCATAAGCGGTTAAGCTAGTCGGCCGAAGTGAGGTTGAGTCGTTAAAGGGGTACTCCGGCGATTTTTTGAGCTAGCTCAACGAACTATATTTTCTGACTCCCCGGCCTTTACCCTTTCCGGTACGCTATTTAGTATCGCGAAATTCATAATAGTTATTGCGAAATCGGCAAATGAAAATGATGCAAAAACCAACATTCAAATATACCCGCACTTTTCAGTGCTGTGACGTCAGTGGAAGGCAAACTTGCCAGTCGAGCGAGTAGTTTAAAAAATAGAATATGCCAATCATTTGTTCTGTGCTGGAGCGCGGGGACTGGAGAGATTCCAAAGCATTCATTTGACACCATGAAACTGCTTCGAATCAGTTGGGAACAAATTCTACAGTCCAAAGAACGAACCCCTGCACTTCCACTGACGTCACTTTTTCGTTGTTGCCAGTAGAGACTTTCAGTTTGAAAAACACGGTGAGGACCAAAATTGTAAATTCAATAACTTTGTGAAAAAAAAATATTTTGACCTAATATTTGGGATACTATTTTGGCGATGTTGTTTGGCGAGTTTAGCAAAATTTCAAGCAAATCGGGGACCATGAAGAAATTGCCGGAGTACCCCGTTAAGCGTCAGATTGCCTGAGGCTCTGCAGCCCGGGTTTCGGACGTCAGCCAGTTGAAAACAAATAAGCAAAATATTCCTTTTAGTACTTCATCGTTAGAAGTTGGAACTGCATCCTCGCAAGATAAATCGTGATTTGATAGAACTGAAACGCGATCCAATCCGAAACCTTGCCGGCCAGCAGCTCTCACGCGAGCGGTAGATCTGCTCGGCGTACTTTAACCTTGCTCCTGCTTATCGCTTCAAATACGATAACTCCGTTAATCATAGTCTGCTGCTTCGATATTGAGTTGCACAATAGGATGAACTCAATATTTTTTGCCCTGTTCCTTTGTGCAACTACATGTGTGTTGCTTACGCACATCACATGGTTCGCACATATAATTACTATGTTGAGCATGTGTGGGTTGTGCGATAAGCAGTGCTGACTTGCATTTTGAGCAGCTGAAAGCCGCTCAGAAAATTTCAAGGACGCTATCTTCAGAAACATAGGGTACTTGCTTTTTGATTCTCATTAAGGCTCACAAAGTTTCAAGTTTTCGCATCTGTTACACTGTTATCCCATCTACCTAGGTCCCTAACCACTCATGTTCATCCGTGCTGCTAAGCACAATCGAAATTGCTCCCGTGCTTGTCTAAGACGCAAGTTTAAGTGCATTGAAAACTGATCTGAGCTGCTCCTAGCCTGCTCCAGAACGTAGTTTTAGCTGCTCCCAATCTGCTCCAAAACAGCTGTTTCCGCTGCTCCCGTGACTGCTCCCAAGTAGATTTCATGAGTTCCACCCCTGATAGATCATTTTACGAGGTGGCCAGAAGTCATCCCAATGACTGGCTTTCTCAAAGTAAGACATTTAAAAACAGGGACAGGAGAAAAGATGCCAACAGGACACGGCATGCTTTCAACTGAATTTTTATTTTGAAAACAAACCAGCGAAACAACAAAAAACATAAAACTTGCGCTCAAAACAGTAAATACAAAAAGGCAACATTCCCTAAAGCATAACTTGCTCATTGCAGATATATGCAAACTTTTTATCAGCGAGTGCTGACGACCCTACACAGACAATGCAGTTTGATAAGAAAAGCTTCATGAATTTAGTGCACAGTTTTTTTTAATCTGCTCATCAATTGAGTTTTTTTTTTTTTTTAAATTGGCTGCGTTGACAGCGGTCACGATGTTGACTGCTTTGAATGCAAACCAGATATTAAAGGAACTAAAGTGGTGAGCGAATTCAGAACAACACTTGTACGTTTTTCTGAAGGGACCCCCTTAATTCGCAACGACCCCTCTAGTCTCAAATAAAATTATTTCTCTATACCACCTGGTAGTTGGAGGGCCGAGCTTTGTTGGAATGTCTGACTTCATGGACCCATTAGTAGCAGCGCCACAGCGCAGCAGTGTCCGTTAAAGGCACCCAGGAACGAGCGGTGCTTGACACACCTCTCAGTTCTACTACACCATACCTCAAGTATTCCCACTTGGCGGGATTGTAACACATTGACGATAAAGCTGGCACCACTGAGTGACGACAATCATAATTATGATACTCTTGACCGGTTATGGGTCTGGTGTTGCGAGCGTGACGTCACGGGCAAATATCTCGAGATGCATTGCGCCGCTTCGGTGGCCGATTTTGAAGCGCTCACCAGAATCTCTCGGTTGGAACGAAAAATATAGCCATCCACTGAAAATGCAAGCGTGAGATTATCATTCACAAATACTATGGGTTATACTTCACCCATTTCGAAGTGTTTCGGGGGTATTTCAGGTTTCGGTTTTGTGCACCTTTACTACAATAATGGGCATCACTGCCGAAACCGTCGAGCAAGACGTGACCATTGTTGTGTCGGAGATAGATGCAGCCATAAATGCCGGCTTCACACAATTGATGGAAATGATGTCGCTTCGTCCATCGATAAGGATTGTGAAAGTCTTCTCATTTCTCGAGATGCCTTTGAACCATCATAAGGTGGCGTTAACGAAGGACGCAAGGAGTCACGTCTGAGAAACAAATGCTCGCATGTTGCTAGTTCGGTGTGTATGAACACTTGCTCTGGTGTCTGGCGCCGAGGCACTGTCAGTCGTAATGAAGCGGAAAAAAAGTCGGCAAACAGATAGTTCATGCAAAGTTTGACCGTATGCTGCCAAAACAAATCTTTTTAAACTCTGAATTTTTGCGCATACCGTATTGGAGTGGAATTCGTTACCAGCGGAAGTGGTGTGCCGCAAGAATGCTGCTTTTTTTCCTACTGCATTGTGCTCCCTGCAATTATGCCCAAGTGGCGTTGCGGGTTTTTCCTTAATAAAGAACAGAAAAAAAAAAAAAAAAAGAATCTGGTGAGCTTGTACTACCCAAAGAGAGGGCATCACAATTAATTTGAAGCTTCAGTGCAGGAGCCCTATGGTGCACCATGGTGTGTTTGGCTGGTCTTTGCATAAGCCATTTTTTTTTATCTACCTCCTGAGCAAGGGTGGCTTTGTTTACACTCGACTGTAGTTTGATGCAAGTTAAGAATGCGCCACATGAGCACCATCGCCTACCAGTCGCGGCTAAGAGTGACTCTGCAAACCAACCAGGAAAGGCAGTAAATGCGACGACTCATGCGACGTCAGTGCTGCATGCACCTCAATAGTGAATGGGGCTGGTGGTAATGAGGGTGTGGAAGGAGCTTATGGTGCATTCTTAAATTGTATCTGACTATAGACACTTCTTCTAGATCTCTGACCAGTTATCTAGTCGGTTTGCTGCCACTTATAGTTCTCTCCATCTATATTTAGCAGTCACTCACCAGTATACATAGAATTGTGTTGGACGAGCACAGAAAATGAGGCAGCATGTTTTTCCTGCCAGATCACGGAGGTGTGCGGAGCCAAGCGCCTGGGCCACTTTGGTCGCCCCCAGTTCTACCTGGCAATGAAGCTGATTGGCGCAGCCCAGGCGGGCCTCCCTATCAAGCTCGACATTGTCTCCTCTGGTAGGGTTCTGCTTCCATCTTGCTGCTTTGCACTGGCGTGTCATCATAACCTGGTTTTTCTTTTTACACTTCTTTTATGTCAAGCCTGTGTTTATTGCAGCAGTGTCATTTCTAGCTATTATTCCACGCATTGGAAAACGTCACTTGGTGGCAATTTCTGATTCAAGGTTCATTTCTATATTTGCTTCCATAATTTCATGCCAACACACTCGTTTAAGATTAGTATTACCTCTATGAATTCAGAATGTGGCTTTGTGTCTAAGATTTCCGTCCACCTGTAGTCGGCGCCATGCTAAGAATGCAGTAGAAGCTCCGGCACTTGTTGCCCTTGGCCGGGTTTTGACTGTGTGCGCCACGAAGCATCATGAAAGGCGGAAAGCATGCGCTGTAGGCGGAGCATCTGCCGCATTCTTAACCTGTCACCGACCATAGACTGCGAAGAGAGGGGAAAAGGCTGTTACGCCTGTCCCCTGTCCAAAAGTAGAGGTGTACATTTTTTTATTTTTGGGAAGAGTTAGGTACCACTACCTTGCCCATCTTCGTAGTTTCTTCGCATGTCCGATCGTCTCCCACCGTTCTTATGCTACAATCGCCGACGTTTTAAGAAACTCTCTGCATGGCTTGGATATGTTCACGCTTTCTGCTTTGTTTTTGGCGCGCTTGTCAGCTAATGCTGCAATCTCGTTGACCGCGGAGCAATGACAAGACACTCGTGACTTGCCACTCACGCTGTTGGTGATTATACACAAGACATAAAGATACAGTTTTTGTGGGATTAACAAAATCTTTCTCGTTTTCAGGGGTTGAAGTCCCACTCCCGAAGTTCTACAGGAGCAATGAAGTCGGTGAGTTTTACAGATGGCACGACCAGATCGACTTGAACGTGATGCCTACACCGTTGCGTAGCTGTGCCATCGTCGTCATTACAGAGGCTTTACATCTTTTTGTTTGCTTCCGAGTTGCTAGGGAATTCGGGTCGAATAGTCCGGGATGTAATGACAGTCGGGTCATTTAGGAAATTTACCTACTATGTGGTCTGGTTCCGTGCTAACTTGGCATTTGGGTAGTCTGTGTGGAACGTGTGGGATCTCCTTTGTTCCCCTTCAGGCCAGCCCACCCAGCTGCCACCCCCTCCCTCTGCCAAGAGTCACAACAAAACGTCCAGGCAGTCCAGCCTCAAGGACCTGGAGACCTCTCCTCAGCACCAGGTGCCGATGCAGTGTTCTTCTGCTCAGAATCTCACAATTATAATTGCCAGCAAAAAAAAATGAGAATATTATTGGCCTAACGTGTGTCAGACGTGTTCGTAATGGTGACCGTTCACACGATGGATTGATCCGCGGACAAATTGATCCCGTGACGACATGTCTGCGGTTTGTCGGTTTTTGAAGCGCATCCACACGATGGAGACAACGAGCAGATGCCAGTGAGGACGGACCGAACCTGTTCGCCACCTCACAGTGCCGCGAAACTCTGACATCGCACTGTGGCACTGTTGTCCAAGAAAGCAATCGACATTTGCTGCCACGATAAAGAATTGTATGCTGCTGTTACGCGCAGGTCGAGACAAGACACCGTGATAAGCTTTGCATGAAGCGCCACTAGTCTTACTAACCCAAGGCATGACAGTGACACAGGCATGGTCTTGCTCGAGAAGGCTTCGGCGTAGAAGCGACGAAGTTCTGGGCTTGCGGAGGGGCGTTCGGAGATGCCTTCACACACTCTGTGCTCATGCACAACACTCAAGTACACCCAAGGTCAAAAGAAAGGTCTTGCTCAGTGAAAGGCTGATTAGATGTGCAAGAATTATCGTGGTGCGCTGGACGAGTTTTGATTAACGGAAGCTTCTCGACACGGACCCGGAGGAGAACCAAAACCTGTGTCGCATCAACTAAACACAGTTTCTGCAGTTCCTTCACGCGTGACACCAAGAATCGCGCGCCAAAATGAATCAGCGAACGCACAAAGCACAATTATGCGCCACTTTTTTTTAATCGTCCGAAAACAAAAAAACATTATACCATTGCCAGACTAAATGCTTTTCAAGTCAATCTCCCGCCAAAAATATGCGAGCGGAGAGGTGCTCGACTTTGTCAGTGCGCGTTAGCAGACGAGGTGCGGATTGCAGGTATCGGTGACGTGACGGTCATGTGGCACACGGTCCGCGGACGAAAATTGCAATTCAGTCTGTTGTGGGAATCGGCTATAAGCAGATCATCTCTTCAACTAAGCCAGGAATAATTCCGCAGCAGCGGAGAAAGCAGAAGCAAGAAACACCCGTTGCATATAAAATAACACAAATAGGGCAAACGAGACAGGACAGGTGTTAGGACAGGACGAGCAAGTAAGCCCCTCCTGTCTTACTTGCTTGTTTTTTCCTAAGTATTTGCACTATTTCTTTTATATTGAAATGCACCAACTAACCAAGCAATGCCACTACACTTAAACCTTAGTTGGTAACCCTACTTTAACATTGCTGGAGTCGAAGGTGGTAACTCTGAAAATGTTCCAAAATGTAGTCAGTCTCACTCCAGAGTAAAGGTTCTGTACCTTGGCATTTGAAAGTCTACTCATGTCAAGTGACAGTTTTTCTATGCGATCACGTGATCATAGCTGCAGGAGGAACTTGGATCTACTCGAGTTTGATTTGGAACACAGCCTTGGTAACTGAAATTGCAGTAATGTTTGGAGGTGGGCCAGTCGGTGGTGCATAGTAGACGTATCATTAAAACCGCGCAAAAACTCAAGGACAAGTAAAAGGAGGACACAGACACAGCCCTGACTCACGACTAAAGGCCCGTTCACACACTTGCGACCTCTTAGAACCGGGTGCCTTGGAACCTCTTAATATCTCTTACGAGAGGACAGACTGGTGCCATCTGTTAGGTAGCAGTGTAAAGTAGGGTGTTCAGCCTATTTTCTATTTCCCTCACACATTATCCTTCCCTTCTTGGCTCGGAAAACATTTGTCGACGTTATAAACAAGCCTTTTTATAGGTATTACGCACATTTGACCTCGGAAATCCCTCAAAACCTTCGCTCTTGTGAAATGCAGTTCCAGGGTCACCGCATAGATGGCACCAGAGTGCCAGCGTGTTCTCTCGTCCTAAGAAATTTTAAGAGGTTTTAACAGGTCTCGTCTCTCTCGGTCGTGCTCGGTTGCAAGGGTGAACGGGCCTTTACTCTCTTTTTTGTCTTCTTAAAACACATCAAAACAAGGAGACAAAGAAAGGAAAGAGAAGAATCTCACATGTAGAACACCTTCGCTATAATTTTCCATCCGAAAAAATTTCTAACAGAAAGTACCAATAAAAACAAATAAAAAGGGAAAATAAAAACTGGAAAAGAATACAACTGTACATTGTTCCGCCTCAGGTCCGAGCGAAGCCAAAACTACAGCGCGAGCCCCAATGCTCTGTGCGTCCCTGTTTAGCATGTTGCCTCGTGGAGTGTGGGCACCGTTTCAGGCTGCATGTACTGGTGTCTGTCACTGTCTGTGGTGCAATATGGTTCAACCAAGGAAGAAAATAAACTGGATGCACCCATGCTGACCACGAGCACCCATAATAGACTGGAAGCACCCATGCAAATGCATGGGTGCTTCTAGCAAGATGCAAGCCTGTGCCACATTCTCCAAATAGGAGCAGTTGCTTGCGTCTTTTCACCCGGCACAACTGCCAGGGTCCGTCGTCAGTCTTGGGTAAGTTACTTTTAAAAAGTAATTCGTTACAGTTACAGTTACTTTCAGAAAAAAGTAATGAAGTTACCGTTACAGTTACCGCAACAAAAAAGTAACTCGTTACAGTTACAGTTACTTTTAAAAAGTAACGACCGTTACTTTTCAGTTACTTTTTCTATAACACAAAAAAATTAGGAAAAACTAGAAAACGCTTTTCACCAAGTTTATTCGCATAAAATTAAAAAGTGTGCTCTTTACTTCGTATTGTAAGTTAGCAGCCTTGTTTGATAACGAACACGTCCCCGCCCTTGTTGAACAGGCGCTCGTCTAACGCACTAGATGGGATTGCAGTGTTGTTTCGCCGGAAAAGGTTTTTGATTGCCGGGTAGGCGGTGAGGCAACAGAGTGCCGTTTTCTGCGGTCAAGTTGTTAGTAACCACTTCCACCACAGCAAAATATACTCTCTGTACGCCGGCCATGGTAGTTCTTTTTTGTTCTTATCAACATTCATATCCTTGGTAGCACTAGCACTTTCTGGCTCGTTGACGGTTGCGCTGGGTTCCTAGAGTCCCTGGACCTATTTCAGTTTGTACCCGGCAAGCCAGAAACAAACCCCGCGCAAACAGCAGTAAATTTTGCCTCCACTGTAGACACTACACCGGATTAATGGCGCAAATCAAAATACGAAACGTGCGCAGTGCGGAGTGGCGGCGCTAATCAAAATGCGAAACATTCGCAGTGCCTCTACGTGTATTGTTGTTTCACGTTTGATTCACCTAATTAAAAAGCGTTTGCGCAGAAAAAAAAAATCGCGAAAGGGATAGTTCTTTACGACACTAAGATGCAAGTGTTCAGTCACAGAGTACAAGCGCGTGCTAAAGATAGCTACTCTTTTTTTTTGTTTTTCACGTGGCTATATTCGGGTCATGACTGGCGAGAAAGAACGTATTCACAAGTCTGTGCAAAAAATAACTTGACACTCGAAATGTCTGAAGAGACAATTTGGAAAGCACAAAAAATGGCTAAATTGTACTCGTTCAGTGATATATTATTCATGAAAAACTGAAAAGTAACGACAAAAGTAACGTCGTTACTTTCATCGTTACCTCAGAAAAAAGTAATAGAACTACAGTTACAAGTTACATTTTTAAAAAGTAACTCGTTACAGTTACAAGTTACCGAAAAAGTAACAAAAATACAGTAACGCGTTACTACCCAAGACTGTCCGTCGTTGCCGTCCCATCGCATGTACGTTCGAGTTCTCCAACTTTTTCTTGGGGCTTCTAAGGCACGCCGGTGTCCATAAAAGCTTTGTACCATGACTCTCGTGTGCGTCCTATTTTACAGGAATGCTAGAATGAACTGAGGTTTGTTTCTGTAAGAAAGGTGCTTATATCATATGCCTGTGGGCAGCCCTTCTCCCAGGCCGCTCCCAACTACACCTTTGTCCCACCACCACCAAGAGGCTCGAGGGACTCCTCTCCAGACGGGCAGACATCTGACAAGACGTGGACAAGGTTTCATCAACCAGGTAAGGCATGCACGCAACTAGGCAATGTGTCGCGAGGGCTCTCAAGCCTTTGTAAACTTCTAAAGGATTTTGGGCCGACCTAAATGGTCCATCTCAATCCTAGCTCGAGTTTTTTTTACCTTTGTCTTTCTATGCCACGAGCTGTTGCAGTGGTTTGACTTCACCCTTTGTCTCGACAACGTTTCTGTCGGTGCTGCTGTTTTGTTCAAGGACGTGACGTCGCGGGGTACGAAGAAGTCACTCGTGCTCCGAGAAAAACTCTGTGCACGAAGAGCACGTTTGAGTGTCAGTCTCCTCTCCATTTAGTGAATGGAGCGCCAAACTCTCATGCTCCGGAGCATCGTCTTATCGTGCTTAATGTCTACTCGAAGGGTGGCACGCTTACTTATTTTTTACACACGGTGCCCTCTAAAGTGCCGTTCACACGCAACCGAGTAGAGCCGAGAGAGGCATGACCGGATTTTAAGCCTCTTGCTACGGCGGAGGACCGGATGCGCTGCTGCGGAGCGGGTCCTACGCCGTCTCAAGAGGCTTCAAAAATGGTCTTGTCTCTCTCAGTCCTACTCGGTTGCAAGTGTGTGAACGGCTCTTAACGGACATGGTGCGAGACTAGACGTGAAGTTACCATAACTACGGCCATCTCGTGGGCTCTGCATAAGAATGGTTTGCGCATCAACATGTGTGCTTTATTAGGCGTCGCATTGAAGCAACTGGCGTGGTAGTGAGTAGAAACAATCGGTTTCTAGTCAAGGTACAACAATAATCGGTTACAGTAAAACCTCATTAATTCGGATCTCGTGGGACTGGCAAAAATGTCTGAATTATCCAAAGGTCGAAATATTGGATGGACAAAGAAAACTTCGCGAAAAGGTTTCCCTCTGACATACTTTTATTTTGAAAAGAAATTTGTGTTTGCTGCCTGCTTTCTGAACGACATTTGGGCCGAGACGACAACTTTTCTTAGCACAGTCAGGTACTCCACCGCACTCGCACTGTCTGAGGCGTTGTAGCAAAGTTCTTTGAGCATGAGAGCTTCCGCAGTCTTTTGCACAGTGCGACGGGGTGGCGGCTCCTCACACGGACAGTTTTCTTCGTCTGAAGCACGTCCGTCGTCACATAGGGCATCCCTGATGATCTCATCCTCACTTGGCTGACTGGCCACAACAGCAATGTCATCAATCGCAAGGCAGTCAGCAAGTTGCACTTGGACAGGAAAGAGACCATTGAAATGGCCATTGTCGTTTTCAGCGACATCTGTGACCCCTGCCAGGTGGCAAGCTTCAAACCGGGCAAAGCCGCTGTGCTTAAAACAATTCGCAAAAATCTCAGCGGGCGTGTTCTTCCACACGAAGGGCAAAATGTGAATTGCACTGAGGAGTGAAACTGGCGAAACTTCGTGTTCGTTCGCAGCCTCGACGATCCACCCCAACAAGGCCTTTTCTAGTTTAGGATGCGCTTCCTTCCGCAGCCGCTTTCTTTTTGCTTTGAACTTCTTGCTGTTGAAAGCCCATAGGATCTCGGCCTCATGTTTCACGTAGGTGGCCGAAGTGCTTTTCTCGACGTCGTACCTTTCCATCATTTGCTGTCGAGAGATGCCGTCTTTCAAGGCCCTCAGTATTTCCACTTTCAACGCTAAATCCTTATCCTGGTGCTTCCGCCGCTTCGCGGGTGGCGCCGCCATGGAGGTTGCTGCAGTGGCTGCACGGGATAACATCAACGACATGCCAGGAGCTTGCGAGCCAGTGTGCCAAACGCGTAGTCTTCTAGAGCAAAACACAAAATTAGCACAAAATACAAACCACAGCGGACTGGAAGAGGTGGGAAAAACCAAAAAAAAACATGTGTGCACTTCGGATGGACAGCGGTCATACCCTTTGGAACGGACGGTACCTTCCGCTACCTGCCAAATTCATCCGAATTAACCGTAGCGCACCCAAATACCTTTGTATTAATGAGCGTTTGGTGCCATTGACTAATGCACATGTTTGACGGGACCAGATCAGCAGTTCAATCTATCCGAATTTCCGAATTAGCAAGCGTTGAATTAACAAGGTTTTACTGTATAACGATTGAATTTTGAGTTTTCTTATTTTCGTTATAAGTGGATTGCACTGTACATCATTTTGGGTGAGGTAAAAGCCCATAGCAGCGGTCGCTGTAAAAGAGTGCCGACATGTGCTCCTCCGTCTCCCTAATGTTAGAAAAATATTGCGTTCATGCCTATACCCGTTTTCACCTCAAGAACCGTAGTAAAAAAAGTCCGGCTTCTCGCGGAGTATTACTGATTTCTCTTTTTATGTAGAGAATGAAGATATATGTAGGTGAATCGTAGACTAGATATATGTTATCTTCTCAAGACATACACTTTCCAAACGCAAAAAACATAGCTTTTTCCTCCGACAACCAAATCTCGCAAGAACTACTTCGCGCCGAGTATGAACAATGTGCAAAACTTGCTGTTTTCTTGAGGTGAAAATGGGTATACACTCCGTGTGACGCGACTGGCGCGCCGCTGCGCGGCCGGTACCGAAGGTAGGCCTTGAGAACCCCGGCGAAAACGAAACCGAAATTACGCCGCGTACGTTGGTACGCATTGAAGCCGCAGTGGTGCGGTTGCGCTGGGTTCACAGCATGAAGTGCTGCCTTTGCTGCGTCATTAAGTGCTTCAATAGTTATGCGTCGTATCTCGGAAGGACAACGTTTCACAGTTTTTCACCTCGCCGATGTTTTGTGGGACAGCGACAACGATGGAGCCGTGCCGTGCGACGCGAGAAATGTGGTCTCCCGATCATGTCTGCCACTGTGTCGGCACCGCTGACATATTCTACACTGCCGCTTTGCGCTCTGCGTTTGTTTTCGTACCAGTAACGCCTACATATGTCGGCGCCGATGGGACGAACTGAAATGCCATCCCACACTCGCGGGTATGCAGTGCCAATTTCGTTGGAGGAATGCCCTCCAAAGAAGTTTCGTCCCCATCAAACGTGTCGATCATATTTCCGGACAAGTATGGAACGCAATCTGTACTTCATGAAGAAAGATTCGAACGGTAAAAAAAGTGAGAAATATAAATCTAAAAAAAAAACAAAAAAACAATGAAACTCGGAATCACTGGAGAATCGACGTTTGAGTATGGAAGTTTATGTGGTGTGCTTTCTTTCTTGATCAGCCTCCTTTTGGATGTGGAAACGCTGACACCCCGAGTTCTGTAGACAATTTTTTTTTTCTCGGCTTTAGAGCCACCTATTGCAAAGTGGTTCGAACTGGAAGTACCGTCCACTGGTCCCTTCCTACCTGTAGAGTGTGCACCTCCCACGATGAGTGGTATTATCTGACAGCCTTTGACGGTCAAAGCCAGTTCCCATTTAGTTATGCCGCCCAAACTAAATTTCCACCTGGTTTCGCTATGCCAACTCTTTTTGTGTTATAATAAGAGTTGTGCCAAGTAACGGTCATGTCAAAGTACCTGTGCGCCGAAAATCAGCACCTCGCACCACAGGTTATTACACAACAGCTGACCGCAAAAGCCCTTGGCGGCCAAGCCGTGTGTTGGCCGACAACTTTGTTTTCTCGCCTTTAGAACCACCTTGTGTAAAGCTGTTTCAATTGGAAGTACAGTCCACTAGTCCCTTCCTACCTCTAAAGTCTCCACCTCCCACGACGAGTGGTATTCTCTTGACAGCCTTTTCATGGTCAAAACCGGTTCCCATTGAGTTACGCCGCCCAAACCAAATTTTCACCTGGTTTCTCTATGCCACCTTTTCTTTTTGTATAATAAGTGCTGTGTCATGTTACTGTCAAGTCTAAGCACCTATGTGCCCAAATCTGCACTTTGCAAAGCCCGCTATAACACAACATTTTGGGTTCAATATTGGATATCCCGTACAGCTTTATTTCTTTATTCGTTAGAAACATAACTTTCACACCTGCTGTCTTAAAGAAACTTGGCACTCTTCGTGCACAAACTTAGTGAACATCTCACTCACCTCCAAATATCATCGTTCCAGCTGTCCTAGGTTTACAGCGACGAGCGAAATAATTTTCCCACTCAGAGAAATTATGGTGGCGGCCGTCTTGTTTTTTGGAAAATTGCTCAAACCCCTTTTTCGACTGCAACTAAAGAAATTACGCCTAATAACGACTCAAACTCAATATATAAGAAGCGCAGAACAGCTAAATGCCCTTCCTCAATCTGCCCCAGCACTCATGCAACGTCACCCTCAACTTATCGGCTCGAAAAGCAAAAGTTTCGCCCGTGCGCGCTACCGCCGCCACAGCTTGACATGCGAAAAGGCGCCGCAGGCTGCTGAACGCGCCTCACAGTCGAACGCCAGCTCCTCCGCTAGCGGCACTGCGCGCGTTTTTCAAAGCGCCCCCTATAGTTCCCGCACGGTGTGTATACTGGCAAAGTGAAACCATTCCTTTCCAAGAATTTGGCGGCAGAACCACTCCCGCTTCCTTGTTCCAAATGGCTATAGGTCTTTTCTCTGCTGTTTTGTGCAAGCTAGGTATGACAGTGGCTATTATTAGCCTTGAGAAATGAACATCGAATTGTAGCTCTGGGCAAAGGAAGTACCGTATTTGCTCGAGTAATGGCCGCTCTTCATATGAATAAGGCCCTTGCACCTACTTTCTTGTAGAACACATGTACGGCCAATCATCGCATTCTGTAAAAAAACCGCAGCGAATAACGAGTTCGAGAACATGATTCTTCATAACATTGCGATCTAAGCAGATAGCATTTTCGCGTAAAGACATTAATCTCTCTCCCGTAAATCGCTGCCATTTTTCTGCCGATCGCGGTGATTCACTATCCCCGTGCTCCGTGGGAAAGCGGACCCACGGACTTGGTTCGTTAACAGCGCGGCTATTACTCGAACAAATACGGTAAGCTATTTTCTTTTTCTGTTTGGCAGTGACTTTCATTTGGAGGTCAACAGTTGACTCCCTGTGTAGATTCAAAAAGGGAATCAAGTATGCTTATACCCTATTGGCACGAC